GTTGATCGCTTGCATCCACACACATTTCGCTGTCGCCGCAGTGGAAACCGGCAGAGAGCATTGCCAACCTAGCTGACTCTACATCACATATTATGCAACAATAAAGTAAGAGCACCAAAATTAAAAAATATAAAAGTATACACATCCAGATAGGCTCTGGTTGACATGACGAATGCGCCTGACTCACCTTGCCTCACCTCCGCCCCACTTCGGGAGCAACCATCCTTCGGATTTCGTTGTCACCGCCCTTCAAATTCCATTAATATAAATTAAGGATACATGCAGGTCACGATCAATACGAGTCCGAATAGTCAGAAATTCTATTTAGTATAATTTCTAAATTGACACCAGGCCGCATGTAATAAGAGCCAAAATTCGGTTGGTAGCCTTCACGATTACCGAGCAGCGGAGCAGACACATCATTTATCGTCAAACCGTTGCCCTGCATGCACCTGTTCATGCTTGCCGTGCAATTCAGTTTCATAGAAACAGTAAAGTATATTTAAAATTATATATCATCCACTTAGTAAGGATGGACACAGAGAAGAATGTTTAAGGGAATATTGAAGATGGAAAAAAACGATTGTTGACTACACTACACAAAAACTGTATGTATCAAAAACGGCTAGGCATAAACGTGTTACGATGATCTATTTGTGTGAGAATTTAAAAGTAATATTTTGACTAACGAAAACTACATTTTTATTACGACATCTTTATTGCGAAATCCCATGGACCCATGAACAATGAAGACATATGAAGCATGCTACTTAAAATAAGTTTTCCATAATAAACCTTCGGTTTTTAATTCCTTTTGCATGTATATAAATAAGTGTAGAAAAAATTGTACTGTTTAAGAATGCTTATTAAGCTTTTTCGATAGGATAGGAACAATTACATCACTTTATATTTTATAATCGCTTCTAATGCTATCATTTTGAACGATACCAAATTTTCTCCGGACCACTTATTCGTACTACTCATGAGGCAATTAGCTCGGTTAGCAAAAATGTTGGTGTTTTGCATCGATGAAGCCTGAAGCCCGAAGGCAGGCTCCGAGTTTGTGCATTCATCGAGATTCGCCTGATTTCAGAATTATTCGCGTCTGGAAGGCATTTGCGTCGGTTTTGAGAAAACTGTACATTTGCGTGACCCAGATCCTCAATTATGCATGCATTCAATGACTCCTCTTCTCTTCTCTTCTCTTCTCTTCTTGCCTCTCAGGCGTTTATGCTCCGACCTGCAATTCATCCTTTTTTGGACCAGAAATAGTGCCCATCCGTTGTCCGACCGTTTCAACGGCTCCTCATCGCTTTTCAGCCTCGACGCTGCCAGTCGACCCCGTCGCCGGCGTCCTCAACCCGGCGCCCGACGAGAACTCGAACTGCCCGACGCCTCAAGAAGACGCCGTCTCACGTACCGGTCCGTCAGGCCAGTCGTCCGTCTCCAGGGCGACAGGGTCCGGTGCCACTGAGACAGTCGGCACCGGCAATCGACCGGGAGGCCCAGCGACTGGCAGTGCCTGGGGCCGGTGTGGACCGGCCAAAGTGACCGGTCGCGGCGGCCCTCGGCACCACTTGGCCGGATCCGTGGCTACGGTCGTCATGAACGCAATCAATGCCTCTTTCTCGTCGCCCACGGCTCCGGCCGAGACAGGCTCGTCCTCGCAATTGGACAAGCATCGTACAAGCCACACTTCGGCCGGCAAATGCCACGTCCTGGACACCGCCAGTCTGTCCGGCGGACTGGCCTGGCGAGTGTCGGGCTCTTCTGGCCTGCTGGTACAGCAGACCTCGGGTCCATGTGCTGGCTCTTGCTCTGGCCAACCCGCTCTCGCCAGCGTCACGGCCAACCCCTACGGCATCGAGCTCTCCTGCGGTTTCGGTACCACCAGCTCTTCGCTCGCCAGCAAGCAGCTCCATCTGCCACCGATTCAGCCCGTCGTCGGCTGGGCCAATCTACGCAGCCATGCAGAGGCAATTGGTGAGGCCCGGCTTCTGCACTCAGTTTCACCTCTCGCAATTTGGCGTCAAGCTTTACTCAAGGTCTACTCACTAGGATTATAAGTAGTATAGTCGCGAGGTATGGCAAAATGCATAGGTATGTAGAAAAAATGGGTTCGAAGATTCCATTAATGGGTTTATGCTGAAATGAGTACATTTCATTCCGTTTGGGGAGCCGATGCATTGGGATTCGTAGGTTGGTGTTACCTGAAGCTGTAAACGGATTGATTGACTTGAAGCTGTGATTGGAGAATTGTACGAATATGTCCTCGGCGCCCTTCGACCCCGTCATGTGACGGACATCTTTAGAGGAAGACACCATGCTTAACGACACTACCATAAAAAACAAAGACAACAAATGTGGCCGGCTTCAAACATACCCACTTCTTATAGTCCAACTTAGTCCACTTAATGACGCATCTCAGGATTTGGTTGGATTTCCTACGCTTTGTTTAAATGTTTGCTGAAGAGACAGGTTAGTTTCGCCTCTTTAAACGAAATGAGAGACTTTCCAACATGGGAAAATGCAGGTTTTCCCTATCATAAATCCCACTCCTACAAAACTCCGATATAGGAGAGGCCTGGTCTTCCTTGAACGTCACGTCTACCCTATGATCTATGAGTACTCGTGGCAGTCTGCAGCACTACCAAATGCTGGGTCTGATTCCCAATCAAAGTTGACCTGCAAATCCGGTCCAACCGGAAAGGGAATGTGAAATTTGTTGGACACCTGAGGTCTACTTGTGTCATTGTGGGATCTAGAGTGACTATAAGTCTTATTCAGGATTAGCTGCTTGCCTCGAAAACCCACTTTGTCTGCTATTATTGTCCAGTCTTCCTTGACCGTCGTCTAGGCCTGGACAACTTGAAGGCTGGTGATGCTGTGCGGTCTCGTTCCAACCTCTCTTCTTTACTATAGTTGGACTACAACCCTTTGAGTGATGCAAACTGCTTGAAGCTCGAATTCTTCGAATTATCTGTTGTCATCATTCGCCATGTTCAATTGGTTATACTATCGAGAAACCTTTTGGACTAGGTGGTTAAGGAGGAAAAGTGGGTTTCGAATAATTGCTAATAATGCTAATAAAAATAATGAAAATAATAACTTCGTGTGATTCACTTTGTTCCATTTGTTCTAGGGGCCTTATTGTCATGATTGCAGATTCATTGCACCGTCCTACTACAGGTTCCGAGAACTCCTTTGAGCAAATATGCAATCACAGCTGTAAAGAATGCCTCGTTCGGCTTAAGATGTCCAATTAAAGCATCCATTCCACTCGCCTTTTAAACTAAATTTAAGGCACGACAACAGTTTAAACTATATTTTACATTTATATTGAGTATACCTTCAAACTATTCGTAATCCCTGAATTAGAGCATCGCCAATTTAGGTAGCTCAGGCTGATTTAAGCACTGACATTAAGGCCTTTCACGCATTGATATTGTATGATGGTCTGAAAGACTCCACCATCCCTCTTTAAATCACATTAAGCGGCCTAGTTTGACTAAAGGGGTCTGACCTCGTTTTCGCAACTTTGTCGGCTTGCCAGGGCGACCTAGATGAGCGCACCTTGTTCTGAGTCCTCCTCTGCCATAGCAGTCATGATAATTTTCACTGTCGGACAGGGGACCTGGCGCATTCTCAGACGTTTAGCTGGCATCGTCAGGGAGTCCTACAACTCTTAGTAAATTCCATCCCTTTAAAAACTTTCGTTGGGGAAAATGGGGTAGGGTAGGAGGTAGGAAGATGAGCCAGGACAGGAGGAGGTGAGATTTCGCAGTTGTTCAGCAGAAGGTTGGTCAAGGAAAGAACTTCACTTGTCTTTTTGACGAGTTGTTATTTGGTACCAGAAATGACTAAACTAATTGACGATGCTGGCGAAAAGTCTGAGAATGCATTAAGTCCAGGATCCGATGTTGGAAATTAGCATGACTTCGGATGCGGTGCGTTCATCCGTTTGCGTGAGTTAGCTACTCGTGAAACTTAATTAACATACAAATTTAGTCACCCTAGATGGCTGAGGGTGATTCAAAGACTTTAATAAGATTTAGATTCGCTCTACTTTGCTTATCATGATGAAAGACTGGTATTTGGTCGATTGCTATAGCAACTACATCTTTAAGAAAGGGCTAGGTTTTCTTCTGTCCTGTGACCCAAAGGCATTCGTGGTAATCTGGCGTAGTTGCTAACATGTTGGAACTACTCGCTGCATTAACACAATCCAGGTTTGAGTCCCAATGGGGATTCCTGATGAGGGGCCAGTTCAGATGTGGTTGAAAGGACAGTCCACCCATGTCTGGATGAGAATAACTTTTTAGAAGTAAGGCTATGTGAAATTCAACGGAATATGAAGGCCTACTCATATGATTGTGGGAAAATTCAATTACCAGCCCTTCATCACCTTTAATGTAATAGGAAAAACACACTTCTTATTCAAGATCTATTGATTAGAGAACTAAAATGATTCAAGGATTGACAGTAGAGCTTTTTTCACTTCGATCTGAGCAGGCTTCAGTGGCATTGTGAGGCCTACGCATTTTATTGTGGGAAAACAACACTATTCGTCTTGAACACATCTTAATGAAACTAGGGCAACAGTCCCGAAACCTACTCACATCGTAAAATTTCATTTTCACTTACAATCATTGATGTAACTATATAGCCAATGGGTATGCTGCGAAACTTATTCATGATCTACTAGTACTGTCGAACCCTGCTTACGTCGAGTAAAAGTAATGTCGTCCATTTGCAAGTACCAGTTCACTTCATAGATAATCCCACAATATATGCGAGTTTGGAAGGCCTGGCTTCTGTCGCAGTTCAAGTCTGTCCTCTAGCACTAGTTGTTGCCACTTGGTGTGCATGAGCCGGGTTCGAGTCCAGGTTGAAAAGGTAGTCAGGTCGAGATGAGAATACTTTTTAGGATTCAAGGTGAAAGGAAATTCACCGGCATCGTGAGGCCTGCACATTTCGTCTTGGGATAGGCTGACTAAAGTTCTTATTCAGGATCTATTGATGGTCTTGATGAATGCAAAACACGTACATATGCAAAATAAACGAGTTGGCTGGTGTGTCTAGGATATTAGACCGACCAGGAAGAGGCACGGAATGCCGTACAGAAAGTGATGGGCAGTCGGGGCTGTGTTGCCGAAATGCGAGTGTATTAGTTGAGCCGGCTCCCTTCGCGAGCTGGGTTTGAGTCCAATCATTCGATCCTAATAATAATAAAGCCAGTGAATTTTGATGATTTGATGAGAAACCTAACGAAAGCCTGAGCTTGAAATTTTGGACCATGCTTACTTCATTGCAGATTTCATCTAACCTTTCCTCCCATCAGTATCCTCATTCTGAACCTGATTTAAATGTAAACTTCGCCTGGATTCGAAATCGGGTTGTGTGTTTGAAGGGCTAAAACTTTACAACCACACCATTGTCATGGGTATCTATGGGCCAGAGGACAGATTTAACTTCTGAATCACACTTGCGGGCGGATTGTGGATTAGGCAATCATTTCTTTGTCTATATTCAGAATTAGTACGTTTCGAGAAGTGAGTGGGAGTCGGTGTACTCTGAAACTTCTCCCATCGGATATAGCATTAGAAACAACCGGACCAAGAACTTTTCTCACTCCAGATCGGTTAAGGTGATAAATGGTGAATTTTCCCACAATGGGATGAATAAGCCTTATGCTGTCAGTTAATTCCACTTCGCCTTGCTATCCAGTCTAGGCCGAAGTTTCTACTTCGCCTGGGTCTCATCAAATCTAAGTATTACAGCATTTATCTTCATATCGAGCCATATCATAAAGTTCATGGCAAGCCAGGCCTCTCCTATATCACATTTTTCTTCTGGGATTGTCGCTTAATCAAACATATATTTACCATTACATTCTACTGGTTCGAATCCCGTCGGGGCCTCTTGAGACTCAGGCGAGGTCAAAACTGCGGTCTACTTCGGACGAGAATTAAAATTCACTATCAGCCCTTTCTCACCTTAAGCTGACTGTAAATCTTGTACTAGATTTACTAACAGTCTCGACAACCTACTCATCACTACTAAACGGCCGAACAGCTAAATCACCATTTCCTCGTGGATGGATCAACATTTTCTTTCTACTTGCCCCAATAAATTAATCACAAATCATTATTATATAACTTTATGTTCAATTCCTCACTTGGGAATGACAGTTTTATCTTGGTAACCAAGTTTATAAAAAAAATTTAGAATAGGAATGAGATCTAGTTCTAAGGATGTCTTTGAAGTGTCCTTACGGACACATAAGAACATATAAGATGTGTTCATCTTATTTCATTTAAGGGAATTTTCCCACAATCCGATGAGTAGACCTAACGGTTTCATTTAATTTCACATTGTCTTGCTTTCCCAAAATGTATTCTCATCGATGATGGACTGCAGTTTCAACCTCGCCTAAGTTTTATTAACACCCCCAATCGG